CCCCAACAACAATCTGGGTCCTCATTTCACCCACATCGGAAGGATGGAAGGCTGAGTCAACCTTTGAGCCGGTGAGATTTGAACAGCCGAACTGCGGTCAGCTGAAGTAGCCTGCAGTGCTGCATTTAACCACTGCGCCACCTCGGATAATTGTTAGCATTATGATGAGGATGATTATGCTTAATGTAATTATATTTTTATTAGAAGATACATTAAGAGGGAAAATGAACAGGTTTACTATACTCAACTGTTTAATATATATTGTAAGGTAGAGAATTAATATCAATGTAGTGAATGTAGTGTTGCAGAGATATTTGTACCCAGATGACATACTGTTTAAGAAAAGATGGAATGTTCATATTTTTTTAATAAAATAAAAACTTTAAAAAAATAAAAAACTCCCCTTGGCTGTTTGCATAGCTGGCACAACTCTCTCTCTCTCTCTCTCTCTCTCTGTCTCCAGGTGTTTCTGTGAACTCAAGTAACACAGGGGTGCCTGACATTAGTGGCTCTGTCTACAACAAGGCTCAGGTGAGTTCAGCACCTTCGTTGCCAGGGAGGGTCCCAAGGAGGGAGTGACCTAAAGCATCAAGATGGCAACAGCCACAGAACAGCATGGCTGAAGCTCCACCTGCCTTTCCTTTGCATAGTTGCCATGTTTTTGACCACACCCTGTCCTGGTGGCATTTCAGCATCCCATCTCTCTCTCTCTGAAAGGTCCGTCAGCTGAGAATCTTATGGTCCTCTGTCCTGTCCTGTCCTGGAAATGTTACGACCCAGATCGCCTAGGTAGAGGCCGGCCTTGGTAGAATCCTTTATTGCTCTGTTGACTCAAGTTGGAAGGGACCTTGGAGGTCTTCTAGTCCAACCCCCTGCTTAGGCAGGAAACTTTATAGCATTTCAGACCAGGTGGCTGTCCAATCTCTTCTTCTTAAAGACTTCCAGTGGAGCGTTCACAACTTCTGGAGGCAACTTCTCTTCCACTGATTAATTGTTTGTCTGGAAATTCCTCCTTCGTTCTAAGTTGCTTCTCTCCTTGATTAGTTTCCACCCATTGCTTCTTGTCCTGCCCTCGGGTGCTTTGGAGAATAGCTTGACTCCCTCTTCTTTTTTTGTTGTTTCGCAACAAACGTCCCTACAATACCCCTCCCTACCCTGAAGGCAGCTCCCCACAGTTCTACAAAGCAGAGCTAGTAAGCAACAAGGCGATTTGCAAAGGCAGAGTTCAAAGACCAGGCGCAAGGCCATGGGGCGAGTTCCAGAGTCCGGGGCCAAAGGCAAGTCACAGTAAGAGCACGGGTGAAAGCCTGGAGATTGTAAGGCAAAACCGTCAATGGTTCCCGACTGATTTCCCCCTTAAGGCATCTCCTTAAGTCAGTGTTTCTCAACCTTGGCAACTTGAAGATGTCTGGACTTCAACTCCCAGAATCCCCCAGCCAGCGAATGCAGTCAGTGTGAAAAACAGTCATGTCCCTTTTTTCCAGGGCAGTTATAACTTCCAAAATCCTTAAGTGAACAGTTGTAAGTTGACGACTACAAATATACGTATAAATGTTGGTATAAATACTCAGCAAATGGCAGGGACCACAAAGCCTTGAATTTCGTCAATTTAGGGCAGTGTCTCTCAACCTTGGCGACTTTAAGTCCCGTGGACTTCAACTTCCAGAATCCCCCAGCCAGCATAGCTGGCTGGGGAATTCTGGGAGTTGAAGTCCACGGGACTTAAAGTCGTCAAGGTTGAGAAACACTGATCTAGGGGGTTTCTTTTGAGGGGAGGCTGCCTGTCATGTCTGCAAGCCATCTTTACTTTTTGGATTTCAGGCATGCCACACTTTCTACGGTGGGAAAATGGGAGGGGGAATTATACAGAGTTAGGTTATATGTAGCCATAACAACATTCTTCTTAGAAAGTCAAGGTCATCTTTGTCTCTGCACCTGGCCGGAACTGGACGGGTGGAACTCCCAACATGGCAGTGGGAGATTGGACCATGGGATGGACTTGTGGGTGTGGGGGGCAAGATCTTGAACTTTCAACCGGGTGGGGAAAACCAGGAAGCTTTCAGATTTTCCCAAATGTGCCAACATGGCTCTCTTCATAAATTGGAACTTTGAGGAATCCTTTGCCTTGGACTCTGATTTAATTTTGGATGCTCTCTGGATCCCTGATAAGGGGCTTTTTTCACCCAGAACAAAGTCAGCCTCATGGGCCTTCTTGAGTTGAGTTGAGTTTCCTTGGGAGAAGAATTTCCCTGCTCTTCAGCCACCTTCTGGCCTTCAGACGGCTCTGCTGCAGATGAGGCTTCTCTACCCACCCTGGCTTTTTAAAGGGCGCATGTTTTCAATTTTTCTCCCCCCCCCTCTCCTTCTCTTTCCAGACTTTTGACAAGCAGGGATTCCATGCCGGGACCCCTCCCCCGTTCAACCTTCCCTCGGCCCTCAGCTCCACGGGGCCCCTGAACCCCGGGGCCGCTCCTGGCTACGCCCCGGCACCCTTCCTTCATATCTTGCCTGCGCACCAACAGCCACATTCCCAGGTGCTGCACCATCATCTTCAGCAGGACGGGCAGGTGAGTGACTGGATCCCTCTTGATGGCCCGTAGACTTTTCGAACCCCGGTTTTCTTTCTGGTCAAAAATAGCAATATAGCACTTAAGACATGTACACCGTATTTTTCGGACTATAAGACGCAGATTTTGAAGAGGTAAATTTAAAAAAAAAAGTTTTTGCATTCTGCAGCCCTACCAAACCCTCCGCATGCCCCACTTTTTTGTGAAAAAGGGGCATGCAGAGAATTTGAGATGCCTTCAAAGTGATCCTGGGAGCTGGGGGGGAGGGGGGCAAAAACAAGCAATAAACACCAGTTTTTCGCTCATTTTTGCTCTTCCCAGCCCCCAGGAGCATTTTGAAGGTGTCCCAAACCCTCTGCACGTCCATTTTTGTGAAGGGGGCGGTGTTTCAGGAGGCCAAAAATGCTGTATTCAGTCTATAAGATGCACCCAGATTTTCAGCCTCTTTTTTGGGGGGGGTCTTATACTCCGAAGAATATGGTGCCTTTGTTTTAGGTTGGTTTTTTCCTTGGCAAGTTTCCACCTATTGCTTCTTCTCCTGCCTTCTGGTGCTTTGGAAAATAGTGTGACACCCCCCCCCCCTCTCTGGGGCAACCCCTCAAATATTGGAAGGCTGTTATCCTGTCTCCCCTGGTCCTTCTCTTCCCTAGACCAGCCATGCCCAGTTCCTGCAACTGTTTTTCATATGTTTTATCCTCCAGTTCCCTCATCAACCTGGTTGCTCTTCTCTGCACTTTTTCTGGAGTTTCAACATGCTTTTTATATATTTTGGTGACCAAAATTGGATGCAGTCTTCCAAGCGTGGCCTTGCCAAGGCATTACAAAGCAATAGAATCAACTTCTCGTCATCTTGGATGGGAAGCAAAACTTTTCAAAGGGAAAAAAAAATCCCAAGAAAGAGGAGTTTCCTTTTGGAAAAAAAAAGTATCTTTGGGGCATTCTACGACGTGCCTAACATCCCTGAATCAACCTGGGGCAACAATAGGAAACGGGGAGGCCTTGTGTGATGAGGGAAAGAGCATCAGCCCCGAGGACAGTTGGGGAACACAAAGACCCAACAAGTTTTATATACTACTAGCCAGGGGTGGGTTTCAACTGGTTCGCGACGGTCCCCGCGAACCGGTTGGTCGGCGAACCCGGAAGTAAGTAACTTCCGGGAACGGCGAAGGGCCCGCCCGCGCTCCTTACCCGGTTTTGACGGGTCTGCGCTTCCACGCATGCGCAGGATGCATATAGCTCCTGCGCGATCCTCCAGGAGCAGTTGGAGCATCGCACAGATGCTAGTACGCATGCGTGCACTGCACGCGTGCACGAGGACGCCGCCTGCCCCGTTCCAACCGAACCGGTTGGAACGGGGCGAGAAACCCACCCCTGCTACTAGCTGATAACCTGGCATTGCCCGGATATTTATTTATACCAATCCTTTATTAGACAGGAATGGCGATGTCAAGTGGCAGCGTAAGTGCAGATTGGGTTGCCCTCCCTCCTTCCGTGAACGTCGCCGCAATTCCTGAAGAGGCAATGGGAAGAGCAACTCCTCTCTGAGCCCTGATTTCGGCGACAATTAATTAAAAATGCTTTCCCTGTGCCCCCAGGAGAGTAATTCCTAATGTTGGATTTTCCCCCTTACCAGAGGGAGCCCCCTGTGGAGTACTGTGAAGCCATGGCAACTCCACTGCATTGTACAGTAGAAGCCATTTTAAGGCAGTACATTAGAAGCCATTTTAAGGCACAACAGGCTGTACCTTAACAGAACGCACACCCCAAGGGGTTTTAGGGCGGTGTCTTATCCCCACAGTATTTTTTTTCCCAGAGAGTAAGTCATCTGTGTGCCAGGTTTGATTGAAATTGCTCCAGGGGTTCTAGAGTTACGCAGGGACACACACACACACAAACACACACACAGCTGTTTAGATAGATGATAGGTAGGTAGGTAGGTAGATGATAGATAGATACTGTTTTTATGCCTTAAATGTTTGATTTATACACCACCCAGAGGAAATGGCTTAAAGAAATAAGAAATAAAACTTTTCCTCTCCGCTTCTCCGTAGGGGGGCTCTGCCCAACGCAACCAGCCAAGTGCCCTGCAGCAGAAACCTCAGGGGACAAAAACCACCTATGGAACGTCTCCATACTGGACGAACTAAGCTCTGGCGCAGAGGAAAAGGCCGGGAGACGGTCCGGAGCAGCCCAGGTCGTTCTCAGGCTCCCACCGGAGACGGTCGACTACAGAGGGAAGAGACGCCCCCCCCCC